GAAAATTAAAAAAATAAAAATGAGAGAAAAGAAAAGGAGAGGTAATAAGAAAAGGGAAAGAACCAGGAGAAGGTTGGAATTTCCCAACATGCATAACTTGAAGAGAATTCTGAGTTGTTTGAAATCTTCAAAAAAGTTTAATTTCTCCCAAGTAAGAAAACAGTCCTTAACAGTCCACAAATTTTGTAGCGCCAATTTTACAAAATTCCCAACTTATCGCTGTTTTTCCGACTTGGAAAAGTTGGGAAATTTCGGGCCGTGAAGATAGAAAAAATAAAAGTAGAAAACAATAAGCACAATATTATTTAAGTGTTGTTTCCTTTCATTTGTATTGAATATTCCTATACATGGTGGATATGGTGGAAGACCAAGGACCTTGGTTCAAAGTAGAATAATTCCCATTATTATTTTTATAATCACCAAAATTCACTTTTGTTTGTGCATAGCTTAACGGGCATAAGCATTCAGCCAATCTTTGGATAGCTAAGTAAGAAAATTAATATATTATAGTAGTAACTAATCCCTCGGCTTTCATTTCTTCGAAAGTTGGGAAATTTTGCTGGTGGAGTTGGGAAAATTTGGATTCCCTCCCCCCCTGGTTTTTTTTTCTCTACGGCCCTGAGTCACATTATCTCTCATAAGAGTGGTTGGAGAAACAGTGAATCATGTGCCTTAGCAGAGCTTGTTATTCAGATTCCTTCGAAAAGATCATTTTCAGAAATGGCTGAGATAAATAACGAAAAACAAGCGATGAATTAATGATTAGACCTCAACAATTTCACTAAAATTTGTACATTAATTTGATAAATCGAAAAGAAAAACTAATATCACCCTCTATTCTCCTCATATTACCTGATAACAAATGTTATCAGGTAATATGTACCCATTGTGAAGGCAATAAGCATTGCCGAAAGCTGGATATCAGTTATGGATATCTATAAATTTCAGAAATGAATTTGGAGACATGAAGCTTTCAGAGGTACAGACAGGGTTACTCCAGTTGTTTTGAATGATAGGAATTTTGAAGGTCCTTCTAGGATACGTTCTATTTTGACCGCAAGAGTATGATAGAACGGGTACCATGTTATTATTCCGTATTCCAATTTATTTCAAAACAGTACTAAATGGAGAAATGGTCGCTAGCCAGGCGGTTCGACGTGGGTGCTTTGCTCACTCGGTCAATTGGCCGAATTGTCTGTCGATGGTTCAAGCCACATGCTGAACGATCGATTTTCACTTGCTAGCGTCCAACCCGTGTTAGGAATCACACGTTAAAAGGTGAGACCTCATTAGTCCTTAGCTCGCATAAGTCTCGACTTTTCAAACATATTTTTTTAAACATAGTAGTGTTTTGAAAATCTCTACTTTACCGCACCAAAAAGTCATACCTACATCCTACTTGCAGAGGAGACAAGTTGGTTAATTCTAGATCGATCTCTAATCTGTTCTCCCGGATTTTGAAGTTGAACTCAATGATGTGCTTCCTGCTAAAAGATACGACGGAGCACTTCGAAGTTTTTGAATTGATGTAATTTCTGGAACACCACGCATTGTTCTTATTAATATCAGACTGTAAATTGAAACAGTCTGCGGCACTCCCAATTTCTTTATATATTTCAAGCAGCTCTGTAACTATGCGAAACCATTTTAGAATCGTCTCAAGAGGAAAGAAACTATTGAATTTTTATAGTACGTTAAACTTTCACCATCAATAAATATACATGTGACATCTTTTGGTGAATAGCCGCACAAAGTCAGAAATAATACATTTGAAGCTTTGTATATGGATAGTCTATATACGTACGGCTAATGGTTCTGCTTTTCAATCACAGATGTCAGGTCACTGAAAATATTTGTTTCAGAACGATATGTTTGTATATGTATACCAAAGAATACAAAGCCCACAATCCTTAGACAATGCCACAGTAGCTCAGAATTGGCATATTCAGGAACCCTAAAATTTTTAGTATTTACCCTGATCACTAGAGGACGACGGCAGTACGATGTCAGTATTTAAAGTGAGTATCAACAAAATTGTGTAACTAGCAATCGCTGACAACTAGTCGGCTGGATTATATCAAATTTGGAAAGTACGCCAAAGCCAAATTTGAATCAAATTATAAAAACCGAGTGGTTTTTCAGCGACTGCTACCGAGTTCTGTTGGTAATCACAATAAATACTGACATCGTACTAGCATCTCCCTCTGATGGTCAGGGTAAGTATTGGAAATTTTAAGGTATACATAAATGCCAGTTCTGTGCTTCTATGGACTTTGTATCCTTCGGTATGAGATACATATTGTGCTTCGGTCATTCTATTGTAGATGGCATATGCAGTTTTGATCAGCTGTTTATATTTGAAAGCGTTATTTGAAGTAAATAAAAAGTTGTAAGTCTAAGTGTGACTTACAAAGTGCGGTTATTCTCACAATTTTTTGAATTTTGTTATCAACAGTATAAAAATGACAACTGAACAAGTAAGTTTCACAACAATATTTAGTATTGAGTTTTAATATTACGCTTTTATAGTGTTATAATTACCAAACATTTCTCTTACATTAGAGGCGTCTAGGGACCACATCCGCCACGCATGAACTCTTGGAAATCACAGTATCAGTGGATCTCATCCTACAAATTGACACTTAATAAATTAACATGATGTGTTTCGAGATCAGATAGAGTTCCGGAGTTTGATTTTAAAACTTTCCTTTTTTATGCGATATCTGTGTTTGCGAATATCTGAGTTTGAATGATGATAGCACTTTATATTTCTCTAATGATTCTACTGCCAGTAATACATTGGAATTGTCAGTACCTGAGTAATTGTGGGATGAGATGAGATTTTGATAAAATACAATGTCCAAAATATACCGCTTTCAATTCAAATGTTAATATTTTTAAATCAGGTATACCGAAGGGTTTAAAAATTCCTGAATCTATGAATTATTCTTCCACTGTAAACTTTGATTTCCTTCTGTTTTGCTAATATAAGTGTTTCGGTTCCATCAAAAATGTTTCAATTGAAATACTCTTCTCAATAATTCATACACAAAATGTTAAATAAAAATTCCATTTCGGAAATGAAAAAGTCAATTGAAAAAATGTATATATTGAAGGATATAATTTTTCAAAATACTTATAACCTGATGGTACTTAACTTGTACTTGCCTTGTGATTGTCAAAAGTTACAAATGATTATTTGAATATAGGTACTTTCTCTTTATTTATTTGAGTATGTGGAAAATAACATCAAAATTAGTAGGCAACTCGTATTCGAAATATGACCACGATGAAACATCTGGATAATAATAACAACTTTTTTTCATTAGAAACTTTTCAATGGAATTTCCATATTGAATAATAATTGATAGTGCATTGCCAACTTTTATATGATATCACGGGTATTCAAATTGTAATACATAGCTGAATTTGTTATTTTAGTGGCTACAGAAATAGAAGAAAAAAACTAGAGTTCCGTATTAATAAAATGAAGATGATGAATCTAATGAACGAAACGTCGCATTGAAAATTGGTTTTATCAGATTATCACGAATACGAAATAGTAGCGAGAGCTTCTCTACATGTTTTGTATATCGAGACAGTAGAGCCAAAAACGAAATTCGACCATTTTAGTTTTTACCAAATATTTCTAAAAACACACTGACATTCTCGATCTCATAATAGATTATTCCAGTTTTCGAAATTGAGATCTTTCGTCCAATTCAACCAACCGTGTAATTCGTACCGTTTCCGAGATAGCAATAGTGGGGTCAGCTTAAAAACCGGTCTGTATTTACAGAACATCTTCTAAGTTAGGAATTGGATTTTCATTTCCTGAAGATTCCAACTTGGTTGGCGAAATGTGCGTCGAGAAGGGTAATGCACTTCTGGTGATTGGAAAAAATGCTTACTATGGATTCATAATACGAAGAATATCAAAATTGTTTTCCTTACCAAATTTGTATACAGAATATTGAGAGATTACTTAAAAGCATTTTATATTTTTTGGGAATTCTGAAGTAAAATTATTTTCATTTTTTATTCTTCAGGTTTAGAGTTAACTATCGTTTTTACTTCCGTTTCTTCTAGGATCAACTGGGAACTTTATAGATGTGTTCTGTTCAGTTGCTGAAGTTCAACTATTTTTATACTAATTACATCATTTATGAAATAATCTCCAAAAATATTTCGTTGTGTATTAAATATACACAACGCTACTTTTGGTTCAAAACTTTTTCAGTGATTTATTTGACAATTTATGATCACTCATTAGTGAAAATTGAAATAATGAATTCACATTTACTGCATTCCTTCGTGTCGCCAAACATTTTTTATTCATTGATTTTTTAATACGAAGTTCACAATTTTTGGCTGTCTAGTGAGCGACGACTATTTTCTTAGATGTGTCAGATGAAGACTATCCACTAGTTGATCTACTTTTTGTCTCCATATAATTTTTTTTGCAGCATACGTTTCTTCTGTTTATTATTTTTTGGTGAATTGTCGCCGGCCATTTTCAATTCTAAGCTTTTTTTTTTCTCACGAGAATATTTTTTTGCTTTTTTTGCTCATGAACCTAAACTGTGTTCTCGAAAAACATTTTGAATGTGTATTCTGGAATACTATGGAAAATGCTATCTAGACATTTTTTTCTTTTGACGCTTGTCAAAAAAAATGCCTGTTTTCATCAGAGGTTCTTTTAACAAGTTTATTCCTTTGGGTTTTGAAAATAGAAACACGTTGCTTATTTAAAAAAAAAAACTAAATACTAAAATTTTGGTTTTCCAATCATTTACTTTATTTGCAGGCAAAATTTGTGAATACGAAAAGTTATATACCAATTGGACCCTTCAGTATTATAAACTACGCATATTTTCAATTAATTTAACTTCATTTGTTGTTCAGATTGTACAATATCAGTTTACAAAATGAAGCAGCCCCTGTAAATTAAAATGTACTATTGACAAGTGTAATGAAGAAATTGAAAAAGTTTAATGTATTTTGTTGCGTATGACTGTTTCAATCACTAAAAAAATGAAATGATTGTCAGTATTTTTTTTTTTAATTTTAAACTCCATTAATAATTCGATAACTCATAAAACACTATTTTTTTGTTGAAAACAATAATTATGATAAGAAAACAACAATTCTTTTACTTGTGATGCATTGTTTGGAACCTTTGGTGCAGTAATGAATATTATTCGAGGTTTTTCCAACACCAAATCTTTATTTTAACACCTCGACACGTGTTTCGATCACCAAGTGATCATCTTCAAGAGAAAGATTAAACTAATAATATGAAGAAAACTATCCTTATAGATACAGGTATCTACCTGTTCTAGGTACCTGCATTTCGAGTGTCTAAAATCAATTTTACAATGTGTCCTTATGTGTCAAGTAAATCTAAAAATTGAAATATTTCAAGCTATATAAACTTAATTTCACATATTGCCTTCTGTATCTGTATCTGTAGAGTAGGGAGGGTGAGTGTAAGCCCACAGTACTTAGGCCACATGTGACCCATTGTACATCCTCCCGAGGAGTTGTCCTCCTAGGTCATCGTCCATCCTGTCCTTTCCAGGAAGGTGAATAGGTCACTGGGAGACATCTCCTTTATGTCGGCAGGTGTTGACCAAGACTCGCCGAATACACACTCTCTTATTGACGATAACTCCAAACACTCGCACAGGACATGCCCGACAGTCTCATCTTCCTGTTCACACATCCTGCATAGAGGTGTGTCCACTAGCCCCATATTATGGGGGTGTTTCCTTAGTTGACAGTGACCAGTCAGAAATCCTACTGTTAGGCGTAGATTTTTTCTGGTCATTGCTAAATATTTCTTCGGCGCCAGCTTCCCAGGGTCACCCAAGGTGATCCTGGCAAGATTACAAACTTTGGTTTCGTCCCATCTCTTTAAGGATTGAGCATGGGTGTAACACTTGACTAGTTCCGCAATTGTCGAAGTCATCAGGCCGTAGGTGCCACTGGGTCCTAAAATTCTTAGTACAACCGCTTCCTTGGCTAAAAAGTCGGCAGTGCGATTACCTTTACTCCTGTCGTGCCCTTTAACCCACCTCAGGATAATGTTATTATCTACCGAGGCTTTGGCTGAATCTTGGTGATACTCTAGTACTAGCCCTGAGGTTATACGTTGTCTTTTCAAGGCTAATAGGGCTTGTCTGCTGTCACTGCAGATTGTTATGTTTTTGCCATAAATTCCTTTCTTGGTTAATTCTTTTGTGGCGATTGAGATACCAGCCAGTTCTGTTTGGACCATGCTGGTATTTCTTCCCATTCACCACTCAATTCTCAGGCTTAGTGATCTGGAATACACTCCACACTGTGAGCCTTCTTTGGTTTTTCAGCCGTCTGTGTAAATCCGTATTGCATTTATATCATCTGACTCTATGTTCTGCTTTATTTGTATTTTGTAGGGTTTATTAAAGACAAACCTGGGTTCAATTGCATCGCTTGTTGCCTGCAGCAGAGGTTGCGCAGTAAGCGCTTCCCGCCACAGGCCCAGCCTCAATTGACCCATTCCTACTTCGAGGTTTACACCAGCCGTGCGCAATCGTACCATGGCTATCAAGGCAATCTCCTTAACGTACAGATCAAGAGGGGTCAGGCCCGTGATTAATTCCATTGCCGTGGTTGGTGGATGGCCGTTGCTTGTAGAACTTTCGGTCCCCATGCAATGGCCCCGTACGTTAACATAGGTCTTATTATTGCAGTGTAAATCCAGGTGACCACACGGAGTGAAAGACCCCATGCGCGTCCCACTGTCCTCCGACATTGTTCATAAGCAACGTATGCTCTTTTTGCTCTACTCTGAAGATGAGAGTTCCATGTTAGCTTCCTGTCGAGGATAGTACCAAGGTATTTTACCTCTTCAGAGAAGTTTAGTTTGCTTTCGAAGATTTCGGCCCGTTACTTCTTTTTCTGGTGAAAAGGACCATCTCAGTCTTCTTGGGATTGATTGACAGTAAGTGTTCCTTACACCATGTTTCTATCAATTTGCGCCCATCCTGCGCTGTATCGCACAGTGTGTTTACAAATTTGCCAGTCTGCAAGATAACTATGTCATCTGCGTATGAAATTGTGTTGAATCCATTTTTGTTAAGGTGATTAATCAGGGTATTCAGAACTATGTTCCAGAGAAGGGGTGATAAGACCC